CTTTGGTGATAACGACAAGCAGCGTTCAGAGGAGCAACAACTCTTAATAAAACTTAATGACACAAAGGGAAAACGTTCAACTCACTATGGTACCTACAATGCCGTTTTAGACTACGCAAGTTAATATCATCAGTTTATACCAAATTCAGGTGGCAAAATGTCGTTGTATGGTTATCAAATTAAGGCCCCAATGTAATAGGAGTATTGATAGTAAGATTTTATCTGGAATATGGGATACAGAAACACTTAAGACTAATTATTGTAAGCCAAAATTTGATGTATCCCAATAGCCTTCACGAAAAGCAAATTTTTCTTATATTACTACTATTACTACATTTTCCGCCCTTTGATGATTGTAATAGTGCAGGAATACATGGGGTACAGGATAAGGAACATTTATCGGTAAAAAAGCTAATTTAACGTTCCTACACCAAAGCACGATAGTAAAAACAACTTTAAAATCGTACATGTAATAATTCTAGCAAAAGGAAATATTTAAAAATCAAAACCAAAGTTCTATGGGAAGGTATAGTAGAATATCTATATCTTTTCAAATAATCTGCAGAATAATACAATGTTCAACACTAGGTATTTATAATTTTATTGAAAATGGTTATTCCTTAATTCACTGTTTTAATTGCCTAAAGAGACGTAGACGTTCAAAATGAAGCCAAAAATAATCCAATTGTGAAAGAGACTAGATATATTTTAAAAAAAGTATTAAATTTTTTGTTGAGAGCCACTTAAGAAGTAACTTAATTTATTCTTTGGTTAAAGGAATGTCTCTTTTATACAACAATAAGCATCAAGGTATAGGTACGTATACACTCTCAGAAATGCTTAGTGGTGAATGAAGTCGGAGAAAACTTTTCATTACGCGAAAAAGTACACTTTTGTGTTGAAGTTGTAGTTAGGAGTTGCCCGTTTATTAAGAAAAACGACAAACTCCAGACCGTCCTTTATTTTAGTCCGTGTGTTCATCTCACTGAAAAACGACGATTTTAAAGTCTCGTACAAGAAATGCGTTTTAGTAAAGACATAAATCTCTATCAATTAATTTAAGGCGAACTTCAAATTATTAAGGAATTACACTATTAAAAAGAATTAGTTTTGCACAATATATAATAAATGAGCAATGAAACAATGAGATTCTAAGTATTAAAAATTAGATGAAAAATAAAAAAGTTTTGCCATTTTTAACGATTTAAAAAATGTTGAAACTTTTTCGGGAAGTAAAATTTCAGTTTAATGTTTAAAAAAGTTTTATTAATACTGTAATATTTCCGAACAAACCGAAAGCTTTTGAAACACTATATCGAAATATTTCTTATCATCATCTTAAGGTTGTCAGTTCTAAGACTCGTTGGACACGCACTTCCACTCTTTCCTATCCCTACCTAATCTTCATATTTCCTTAACTATTTACGAACAGTAATCTGATCTAGGTCTACCTCTACTCCTCTTAATTCGTTTTTCTGTCTCTACAATATGTCTCTAACTAATCCCTCATGATTAAGGTGTCCTACCAACATATCTCGCCTGTTTTTTATTGACTGCTTATAAATTAGTGAAAGGTCTCATAAAAAACCGAACCAAATGAATGAAAACGTGCGGAATATATAAAGAACAATAAAATGTTATTTTGGTTATAACGACTAGTCTGCATTCACGAATCCGATTGTTATAGAAACAACCTCACCGTACTTACTAATCCTCTTTAGTTGTTCCACTGTAAGGTATTTATCTGCACGTTAGAGCGGACTGCGTACAAGTTCCACTCTAGAGCTTGATCTGTTTTTCAGAGACAACAGGATTTAGTTACCAAGACGTTAACAACACGAAAATTGAGTTATTTCAACGGCCAGGTCAGGTCGGTAGATGCTACTGCTTCATCCTTCTCAATGAAATTTCAGACGAGGAAGTTAAACAATTTTAGTTTTATGAAGTTACGAGAAGTACGAGACTCAGATGGCTGAAAGATGGTAAAAACGAAAATGTATCGAAAAAAGCTTTACGCGATAGTTGAATGCTGGAGGATTACTATCTGTCTACTTATTGAATAGCTACAAAAAAAAACAGTAAAATAACTTGGCAGGGTAATGTTAAAATAAAAAAAATTGGTGAAGGTGCCAGACACGAGACTAATTTTTAATTTCAGTTATATATTTTCCTAACAAGAAAAATTCAAGGGGTCGTCCTCTACCCTTTTCCATCCTGAAACAACCCGTTATTTAATATAGGTCTTCGTACACCTCTATATAGTCCTGTTTATGCTCCTAGTATATCTATAATATGATAATACTGTTAGATATATCATCTACAAATCTAAGCATGCTATACTTCATTTATTTTCTATAGCGATGTGCCCTTTCCAATGTCTTGGACGCGCGCTGGCAAATCGTAGGTAGGGAGAAAAAAGCTCATTATACTCTCGACTCTTGTTCATTAAACATACTTTTTCATACAGTACCTGCCAAAAGTTGTGTTCAATCATGAATAGTAGTTATAATATGTCTTCAAATATAAATAAACATCTCGTTGATATTTTCAGTAGTAAATGGTACCAATAACAGCACGTTTGAGCAATGCAATTGTAGTGTATGAAATGGTCAATTTTTCCGTGCAGTACTGTACGGATTATATGCTCCTCACCGGTTAAGAGTTTGGCCGAGAGTTGTCTCCTTCCTTTTCTGGCTTAGTGCTGTTCTTTTCTACTTTGCGCCGGTCAAACTGAAGGTCACATCTCTACAGAAAGTATAATTCTTTACTCGTATATATCTATCTCGGAAGTTGTCCTGTTTTCAATAATATTAATTCCATCTTCAATAAATAGATCAAAAATAATAAACCGTATAATCAGTAAAAATGATGTTTAGGAAAATACATAAATAATCATCAAACTGTGAAGTCTGACATCATGAACCCTTTATAATAAGTGTCCCATGTGTTTGTCTGTTGTCGGCTTCAATATATGTAAAATTGTGCTTTTATCTCTCAATTTTAATTAACTGTTTGGAATTGTTCCAAATGTTTTTAAACCGCTTTCTATCCTTGAAGTCTGCAGAAAAATGGAGAAGATGCGAGACAGACAGACAAAGCAAACAGTTATTTGACGTAAAAATGGCAGAACTTTAAACTGGCTGACGGCATAAAGTCGCCACGAGACGTTTAACGGAAAATTATAGAGTAAAGAGAAGTTTTAAAACGGAATTTCACCGACCAGCTTCATATGTGATTGTTTCAGTTTTAAATAAAGCCCTTGTAACAAAATTAATGCATAAAAAGTTGAAAAAACTAAATAATTTTGTAGTCTATTAAAAGTCGTTAAATAAAAGTTTATTACCATCTTTAACTTTCGCTATTTCTAAAATTCCTGGTGTCTAACTCAATGTATATAATTTACCTTACAACACCACGTATTAAATATCCATAAGCGTTATTACAATTCTAAAACTAAATCTTTAATAAAAGATACTACGAAGTTCTTTGTCAAAACGACGAACATCTGCTGCAAAAAGATTTGGAACTTATGAATTGATAATGACCCATAAGAGTTGCACTTACAGAGAACTCTGAGAGATTGCATTTTGCATTTATCAAAAGCTGCAAAAGCTTCAAACTTCATATTTCAGCTATCGTGCTGTTTCAGTTGCTTTACCTAGTACAGCAGTAACTTAAGGAAAATATAAACAGAAGCACATAAACACAAACATTTTCTAGGATTTATGGTTTATGCATAAAAGGTACCTGAAGCGGCAAAATATAATAGGAAGTCTTGTTTCACTTCATGAAGTTAAAACAGAACATTACATATGCATATAGAAGCGCATTTTGCTTCATATAGGGGACTTTTGACCTATATGTACCTACTTAATAACAATTAGAACGTAGTGTTTGCGTAGGTCGTGGATACGGATTAACAGTCTCGAGATTCTCATCATCATCATCATAAGGTCGTCAGTTCTAAGACTGGTTAGACACGCACCTCCAGTCTTTTCTACCCTGAGCTAATCTTCGCATTTCCCTAAAACTAGAACAACCCACATACTTAACTATTTGCGAAGAGTAATCTAATCTAGGTCTACCTCCACCCCTCCTAACTCCTGTTTCTGCCTTTAATATGTCTCTGACTAGACCTTCATGCCTTCTTTTTATTGAAGCTGACTCGACCCTGCGCTATCCTTTGCTTTATATCCCTACTACTCCGTCCGTCCTAAAATCCACCACTTCTTCTAATTTTTCGTCTCCTATCTTTATATTCGCTCTTTCTCTAGTTTTTCTTCCCTTGCATACCAGTATTTTTGTTTTACTTCTCGAGACTCTACGTTCGTTAAGAAAGTGTGCGGGCCGATTGGTCACACGGCGTAAAATTTTAAGTAAAATTACTGGTAATTGAATAGGAACCTCTACAAGCTTCCGTGGTTCAGTTTGAATTCAATTCCAGACCAATGCATTACCTTTTTTTGTTAATTTCATGCACAGGGCAAGTAGGTATATTAGTTGTGCTCTTAATCAAATTGCTAATTAATTAATTAGCGGTAGTTTATAGTTAGGTGAGTGAAGATTTTCATAAAGTTTTTAATTGCTCACTTTCAAAAGGTATTCACCGGCTCTTAGCTCTATAATTAAAATTAACTTTACTATATTCTCTTATTCCGTCATCATCACGGTAATGTTCTATTATCTGAAAGGATGTTCTAACTTCCGGTATTGTTTTTCACGGAAAACTTTAACAGAAAACAACTTCAGGTGAGTTGACAATCTCGAGGGAACCGGAAACTATGTAAGAACAACTTTTAGCGAAGTTTATGAAAGAGAGAGAGAGAGAGATTTACGACAGAACAAGATGGATTAAAATTTATCAAAGAAAATTATCCACAATTATTTCTAGACTTTGAGTTGTAGTCGAATGGTTTAATAATAACTTAAAGGTGTCACGAGGTTAATTTAAGTGTAAAATCGTGTTACAAGTAGAAAAGTTGAATAAATAAAAAACTTACCGCTTATGTGGTTGACCATTGCAACGATTGTTGTTTGCATTTCGATTCTGAGAAATCTGTAACAAGAATATCTAATCAGTTAACATTATATTGTGACATTTACGAAGATTTTTGAGAAATAATACACAATAGAATTTTGTTAAAGGTGTATATTTGGAGCACCGCATTGTACGGGTGTGAAACATGGACAGTGGGCGCGGCGGAAAAGAAAAGGTTAGAAGCGTTCGAAATGTGGTGTTATAGGCGGATGATGAGGATATCGTGGGTAGAAAAGGTTAGAAATGAAGAGGTATTGGAAAGAATAGGAGAACAGAGGACTGTATGGAAGTCAATAAAAAATAGGCGAGATAGGTTGGTAGGACACCTTCTAAGGCATGAAGGTCTATTCAGAGACATATTAGAGGCAGAAACAGGAGTTATGAGGGGTAGAGGTAGACTAAGATTACTGTTCGCAAATAGTTAAGGATGTGGGTTGTTCTAGTCTTAGGGAAATGCGAAGTTTAGCTCAGGATAAGAAAGAGTGGAGGTACGTGTCCAACCAGTCTTAGCACTGACGACCTTATGATGATGATGATGATGAACAAATCAATGCAAAAGGAATTCATACCTCAATTTCTTCGATTTTTTTTCGAACAGAGATAATTTGGGACATTATAAAGCTGCGAATTATTACAAATTCCGATTCTTAAAATAACTGTCAAGATTCGTGGATTATTTCAGTTTGTAGTTTCGTGAAGTTTTGACGGTGAAATTCGGATATCTTTCTATTTAGTAATTAGAGCGTATACCCCACAGTGGGGTAATTGTATAGTATAATTGCTTCCGTGACACTTCATCGCCGTGTTCTATTAGTGGAAAATAAACTGCAATTTCGCATGCAATCTTGCACCCCGTATTCAAAATTTGGTTTACATAATTATCCACTACCTGAAACAAAATCTACATGAAAACTTCTTCAGTTGCATGGAAGGAAGTTCGCCGTTTTCCTTTGGATAACATTCATCGCAGTTGTAATGGTGTACTATTTTAGACAATTTTACCAACTTTATGTAAATCTGAGACCAAGTTTGTTCAGGCGTAAAACTGATAAGTTACTAGAACAAATTCCGCGGTTATACGAGGGTGGATTGATAAGTTTCCGGCCTAACCAAGAGATGACGCCACTAGGCCTACCTTGAGGTGACATTCTATAGTACCATCCTTGGATAGCTTGTAGCTATAGTTTCAGCCCGATCTCCTTGCTAGTGTAGGTTTGACAGCACGCTGAACAAGACGCCTCTGTGGTTTTCGTAAAAATGGAAAAGCAGGAAAATCGTGCTGTCATCAAATACTTTTATTTGAAGGGGTTAACGCCGAAGGAAATTAAAAAAGAGATGGACTCAACACTGGGGACATCCTCCCCGTCATATTCAACCGTTAAGCAGTGGGTTTCCGAGTTTAAAAAGGGTCGTGTGAGCACCTCTGATGGGCCTCGCTCAGGACGCCCCGTTGAGGTCACAACTCCAGATATGATCGAAAAAATTCATCAAATAGTGCTGGGAGACCGCAGATTGAAAGTGCGTGAGATAGCTGAGACCTGTAAGATGTCATATGAACGTGTGCAACATATTTTGCACCAACATTTGCATATGGAAAAGCTCTGTGCAAGATGGGTGCCGCGTTTGCTAACAGTCGACCAAAAATTGATTCGAAAAAACATTTCTACCGCAAATTTGTCATTGTATAAGCGTAATCCAAGCGAATTTTTGCGTCGATTCGTAACCGTTGACGAAACGTGGGTCCACCACTACACTCCTGAAACCAAAGAACAGTCTAAACAGTGGATTGGACCAGGGGAACCAACTCCAAAGAAGGCAAAAACAATTTTTTCGGCGAACAAGGTTATGGCTACTGTTTTTTGGGATGCAAGAGGTATTATATACATTGATTACCTTGCAAAGGGTAATACTATCACTGGTCAATACTACGCAGACTTATTGCAACGTTTGAGCCACGAGGTGAAAATTAAACGACCTCATCTGGCGAAGAAAAAAATCTTGTTTCATCACGATAACGCACCAGCGCACACGTCAATCGTTGCGACGGCTAAAATCAACGATCTAAAGTTTGAATTGATGCCGCACCCTCCTTACTCTCCAGACCTAGCCCCGAGTGACTATTTTCTGTTCCCTAATCTCAAAAAATGGCTTGGCGGTAAGAGATTTGCGGACAATGAAGAAGTAATCGAAGCTGTAAATGGTTATTTTGAGGAGCTTGACGAATCAGTCTATAGAGATGGCATTAATAGACTGGAACACCGCTATGAGAAATGTATCAGCCTTGGAGGAGATTATGTTGAGAAATAAAAAAAAAAAATTTTTAAAAACCTTGTTTTTCTTGGTCAGGCCGGAAACTTATCAATCCACCCTCGTATATAAATTTGGTTACTGTTATTTTTAGAACGCTACGGCATTGAGTTGATAAAACATTTTACCGTTACTAACGCATATTTTTGAAGTGAAACTTCTTTACGCACGGTAGGGTAAGTTCGTTTCATGCGAGTTGCCATGTAACGAAATCATGCAACGGATGTCCCCCCTCTACTAAGCCACGTAGTCGAGTTCGTAGTGGGGATCGCTTGAGCCGTGAGCGCGCTTCAATGCAACGTTCGTTACAGGCCACTCCGGCATGTATACCTAGTGTAAAATTTAAATCCATAGTGTAAAAATAATACCATTAAACCAATTCCTTAACCCCTATCCCGGTGTGTTTGTGTGTTTTAAGAAGTTTCACTTCAGTAGCGTGTTGTACAATTACACGTTGTATTTTTTTGTATATTTTGTGCAATGTAATATTATAAACTAATCATTGTGAGAATCTTTTTTATGATTGATCTCTTTTCTCTGCAGTCTCCGTCGTTCATTAGGGATCATTTTGATTGATCATTTAGTGTCAGTTTCCCTGCAAGGTTTCAGTTCATTTAATGGATTAAGAATGGTCCTGATGAAAGCCACTTCCTACAGGAACAGACAGTGTATGTTATATGGGGATATAGGTGCCACGTAGGTGGTTGATTTAGAAGCGGCAGATGTTGCAACAAACGAAAAGCCAACGGCTTAGCCCGAGCGTGACTGATATCCTGGGAAACCCAGAAATCCGAGACTAGACTAATTCAAACGGTTTTCTGTTACTGTAATACTGCCTGAGTTTAGAACGGTCTGAACAAACACTTCACGTTCATCCCTGTGTTATTCCTAACACATTGGATATTGGTTTTCACGGCATATATTTTCGCTTGTTGTTTAGTTCGATAGCCATTATTACGTACATCCACTTGCCGTATAGACTTACCGCCACGAATATCGGCGGAAAGTTATCGACAGACTAAAAGACGGTAACGATATCGCTAACCTCATTAAGCGACTTTATGTATTATAGCCTTAATATTACACGGCTATAAACTTACCAAACACGTCTATTAATGTTAAAGTAAACGTGCTGAAATTAATGTATCGCTACACGAACCCCAAATTTATGTTAATTTATCAAATGAGAATACGAAATTTTATCAAGAATTCAAATTGCGGGACTTGTACGATAGGTTTATAAGATGATTCTGAAATAAGTATCAATTTTTGTAGTCCGGCGTTTGGCATACTTCATTTGCAGCGATCATACACTAGCGTACTGCACTGGGTTGGATGCATGCGTTGTTTCATACAATCTCATAAAAAAGTCAAACGAATTTAGATTAGAACTATATCTACTAATAATACTATTCTGTACTGACCGAAGATACTGACACATTGACCTAATTCTAATGATTTCGACAGTCTACATACTAATACCCGAATGCTGCTAAGTAGCAGACGATTGAATGTGGCGTTGCAATGTCGTGTTTGCCTACGTGATCTTATCCGGGCTGGACTAGTCCTTGCATGTACTGTCAAATACGTTTTTTTTTTCGAACTCGGACCACCAAACATTTACTTAAATATCTGTAAGCTTGCTACATGTCTTAGAAACTCCTAGAAATTATAGTGTAAAAGCTAATCAATAGCCAATAGGTAGTTTCTTAATAGAAGTTAAGAAAGTAAAGATTTGCCTAATATTACAGAGTCACAATGATTGCGGATATCAAAAGGTAAAGTAAAAAAAATATTAACTTCAAACGCTTCCAGGATATTAGAGAATAATCTACAAATCAAGTTTTCTGCTCCATTTTAAGAAGGGATAGACACAAATGGTTTATTTAACTGTAACCTATCAATTTTTCGGCTTTAATATTATATTTAGTTTTGTGTGATGTTTTACTGTTCAAAAACAGGTGCATGATAACTTTATGCGAGGTAAGACGCATCTAACGCTAGTACAAAAACATGTACTATATTCATGAAAGGGATTAAGGCTTGCAGAATAAATAACCCGGAATAAATCGAAATTTCAATGGTGCCATTAGCATTGGCAGCGAGGGCCCCGTTGGCCGAGAACAATGCGAGAAAAACTGGCACAATGACTAATTGAACCAGTCACGTCAGGGTTGATGCTAAACATTCATTTGGGGCAAGTTAGAGCCCTGGTTGTCGTCGAACAAACATGCGGCTCAGCACTTCAATCCTCATCAGTAAAATGCGGTTACCAAAAATAAATTTTGTCAATTATTGTTGTGAATCAGGTGGAATTTATTGATATGCACTGAGATAAGGCGTTGTTTCAGGCGTTAAGGTCTATGTATAACTAGTAGGGATATAAAGCAGAGGATAGTGCAGGGTCGAGTCGCCTTCAATAAAAAGAAGTCACTTCTATGCACGGGGATTGTTAATTTAGAAATTCGAAAAAGATTGTTAAAGGTGTATATTTGGAACGTGGCATTGTACGGGTGCGAAATATCGACGATGGGCGTGGCGTAAAAGAAAAGCTTAGAAGTGTTCGAAATGTAGTGTTATAGGCGAATGATGAGGATACCGTGGAAAGAGAAGGTTAGAAATGAAGAGGTATTAGAAAGAATAGGAAAACAGAGGACTCTATTGAAGTCAATAAGAAATAGGTGAGATAGGTTGGTAGGACACCTTCTCAG